GCCCGCCTAGAGACCTCCACATTGCCTGACTGACGGATCTATTTATCTATAGGCTGCTCCCCAGCTTCTCCCCCCCCACCACCTCCGCCTCCTCCTTCCCACCCCCACATCCCCCTTTTGCAAACCACCACCTTGTACCACTGAAGTCCCAGCCTAATAGAAGCCGTGAAGGCTCATCCACCATAAAATACATCTGCCATCCTCCTTCTCTCCAAGATAAAAGCCTGTCAGTGTTACTTTCCAATTCCAGGCAGCTTGATTAATGGTGAAAAGCCACTGCAAGATCGACTTCTGGTTTTTACAAGCGCTGTCAGCCGGCCCAGGGTTATGCGAAACACACACTCGTACAAAACAAAACAAAATGAGAAAAGGTTGGGTGGGGAGAAGGGGGGCAACTGAGGTGGGGCAAGGGCAGTGTGGCTGGGAGGGCCAGGGGCGCTGATGGGAGAGGAGTTTGGGAGGGGTGGAGGGGGTTGCTGTGCCACAGCGGGGATGGGGCTCTTCTCCTCTTGGGTGTCCCTATGGTCAGTGTTTCCTGATTTTATTTGGCCGCGGAACCCTTTTAAACTCGAACGAATTTTGCGGAACCCCTACTAGCAGGGTTACATACGGAGCTGAAAAAGTAGACCACAAACAAGTTAGGATCATAACAAACGAATGCTAAACAAGGTCATGAGATCAACATTTAGTTTAAATCCATATGTTTAAAAAGAAAAATCGCATAATATTAATTATTACTTTTTTATTATAAAATGTTGCTGTAATGGAGTTTCCTCGCGGAACCCTTATTTTCACTTCGCGGAACCCCATTTGGGAAACACTGCTCTATGTGATAGGCTCATGAATGCAAAGACTAGCATTGCAACAGCCCTGGGATTCCTGTTCATGGTTCTGGCCCTGAATCATGGTTTGGGCCTGTAAAAAATCTCTCTTCTCCCATGGTTTTCCCATCTGTAAAATGGGGAGGATACTCCATGTGGAGGTGGGGATTTGATTTCTTTGGTTATTATTTGTAAAGCACATGGGAGGTGCTGTTTAGTTTATATTCAGAACCTATTGCAGAGGTCATTGCCAGAAAATAAGATATGAGCTGTTGTTTTGCAAGTGCATAGGCCTGTAGTAGTAGTAGTAGTAAAAGTTAAACTGTTCTGCAAAGTTCAGAGTGGAGACAAAGCATAGTTGGTGGAAAATAGCTACAGAATAGTTTGTTAGATTATTGCATTCTGTGGTTGTGTAATTGTTGATCTAAAGTAGAGATCTGTAAATTGTGGAGAGCACCCCCCCTAGTTTGGGCATGAAGGAATGTTTGGGAGAGGCATGGCTGATTGGACTAGACCCTGTATAGAGCACCGCCCCAGTCTCCAGCTGTTGGCCCTTTACCCCTGTCTGCATCGCCTTTGTCCCAGCCCGGAGTTGTTGTCCCACTCCTGTTGTGTGTATGTGTGGGCAAGGGTAAGAGGGCTGTAACACCGATAAATTTGGGGGCTGATCTGCTAAAGGGTGTTTTTTCTTTCCCTTGTAAACAGAGAACAGGTTGCTTTATGCGTTTCCATCTTGGAACGGTTTCTTCAGGCACTGGATCCATTTTATGTAATCCAGAACTTCAGAGGAGAACTTCAAAAAGGACTATTTCATCCTGATGATTCAGTTAAACTTCTTACTATATCTCAGGTATGGACTGTAATGCCTATATTCAAGTAGTAAATGGTAGGGTAGATCTTTGACCATTTCTGGCTAATTTTAATCGATTACCACTTTTTTTTTTTACCTATTGCAATTTAATTCTTTACCTCCCTATACCAAATCAGGGCAAAAGCACCACATTGTATATAGATTCTAAGTAGAAATTCTCTGTGGACTTGTTGAAAATTTTTTATGTTGCTGTTTTGCAACTGGTGGAAAGAAGCTAATAATGTTCAACTGAATTTTTAGGTTGGAAGAATAGTTGAAAATTCAGATGCCATTAGAGAAATTCTCCATAATCCTGAATTACTACGGCAAATTATTTATTGCATTGGTGGGGAGAAAATAGCCGTAGCGAAAGAGGTAAGTGTTGCAAACAATAAACTGCTTTTTTCTTTTTCACGCTAATTGAAGGGTGGTAAGTATTTTGTTGTATCTACAGTGTTTGAGAGCAGCCTTAATTATTCTGGGATAATAGAGAAGTGGGAACTTGGATAGCTCAGGAGATCGGGATCAGCCTTGAGGTAAAACTTCCAAAATCTTCTAAGTGACTGAGGCCATGTCTATACTTACTGTGCTGGAGATCCATCTTAAGGAGTTTGATTTAGCAGCTCTAGTTAAGACCCACTAAATTGAACACTGAGAGCATCTCCAGCTGGCACCGGTACTCCTGGCATTTGCGAGGAGTAAGTGAAGCAGACGGGAATGTTTGCTCCCATCAGCCTCCCTCTGTGATGGGAGCAAACAAGCTCAACTTAAAGTGCCAAGCTCAACTTAAGGCCGTGGTCACCAACAGGTCGATCGCGATCGACTGGTCAATTGCGAGGCCTCAACCAGTCGATCACGAGGCGTCCTGTCCATCCCACCCCTGTTTCCCTCCCATCCCTGAGAAGTCCCACTACCTACCTCCAGTGAAAATGGAGGTAGTGTAGGCTTCCCAGGGATGGACAGAAGTCCTGCAGCTTAGCGCCACTTCCGGCAATTCCAGAAGTAGCGTTAGCTGCTCTGCCGGGTGTACTGCGGGAGGGAGCATTGGCTCCCTGCACTCCATGGGAGGGGTGAGTCAGCCTCAGGGGAGGCGCGCGTGCGCGGGGTTTTCCGGTGCTGGTGGGGGGGGTTGGCCCCGGGGCAGGCATGCGTGCGGGGCTTCCCTGTGTGGGGGTGGGGGGTTGGCACCAGGACAACCGCTCCCCAGCCACAGAATTCTGTCCCCACTCTCCTGTCCCCACTGGCACCCTGTCCCCAGCTGCAGAACTCTGTCCCCACTGGAACCCTGTCCTCTGCTTTCCCAGCACCCTGTTCCCTCTCCCCTGCCCCCAGCCTCGCAGAACTGTCTCCACAAAATGCATAATTATAAATGCTTCATTTTAGATTTAAATAGTATGAATAAAAAACAGACCATTTATTTCATAACTATAAACACGTGATTTTAATTTTATACATCGCATAATTTAAAAATAAACTGTTCATCAGTGTGTGTAAGGGCTGGGGATAGCAAATGATGGACAGGAGGAGAACAGAAGGCGGGGCTTCAAGGAAGGGGTTGGCGGTAGATCTTCGCCTGAACGGAGATTTAAAAAGTGATCTTGGGTGTAAAAAGGTTGGAGACCACTGACAAGGTATGTCGACTCCAGCTGTGTATCTTAACCTTACCTTCCAGGTCTAGTGTAGACCTGGCCTTAGGCTCTCAAGTCACTCTAGATAAAATCTTCTAACACGCCAGCGTCCTTGTCTTCTAGTAATTCTCCTGAGTGAAGTGAATTGATGGGTCTCTGATTCCTAAAGGGTTGACCACATCATAGTCTAAAAATCAGCATAACTAGCACTTTTGCAGAGAGACCAATAATTTTCAGTCTGCTCCTATTGACAGCATAAGATGTATAATGTATTATTTAGTCTATTGGAAAAAAAATTCAACTGTCTCTTCTTGTGCTTTTTTGTAGTCAGTTCCTCCACTTTGTGTATGTGTCTGTATTATCACAAACCACTGCCTTTATTTGTAGGCTATCAAATCACTGTCGAGAATTGCACAGACTCAAGATGGGCTGGAGGCTTTATTTGAAAGCAATTTTTTGGTTGACTTGAAAAATGTCATGGCACCAAGCGATGTTGTACGATACAGAGTATATGAGGTAAGAGGACTGTCGTTCTTGGTGTTTGTTATAGGCTCCACAATTCTAGTGTGCAGTGTAATTCAGAATGGAGTGTTTGAGATGGAACATACTTGTCATTTTTAATTGACTTGTAAACTGGAGGAAAGGAAGATGGAGTGGGGACCAGAAAGGAGCACATCATAATTCTTTCTGAATTAGTTTCCTTCCCCTCCCCAGCTGCATGCCTCCCCTGCAATGCCTTTGAAATAGGGTGGGCCGCAGGTCTGGAGGGTGTTTGAGTTGTCCTCGGTTATATTTTATTTTACTTTGTGGGGTGAGGGGCCAGAGCCTAGAATAGACCCCTATAGATATGGTTATAAATCAAATAAAAATTCAGGTGTATCAGTTTAAGAAGAAAGGATGCAATGCAATGGTCAGGGTAAATCACTGTCATGGCTTAGCATTTGAAGCCCTTGTGGAAATGAGTTCTTGTAGTAGGGATGCAAGTAGGCTTATCGGTTAATCTTGTCGACGCCACGCATCTCCTCCTTCTTGTTTAAAAGCTGGTTCCCCCTAGCACTGGCAGCAGCGGAGGGTGGGGTGAGGAGGCTCCTGTGAAGCAGCCTCCGTCTACAGTGGGTCTGAGCTCCCCGTAGACAGAGGCTGCTGCGCGTCCCACGGAGGTGCTCAGACTCCCGCGGACAAGGTCTGCTGCCGCCCCATGCTGCTGCCTCTGTATCAGAGGCATCAGCGCAGGATGGCAGGCAGTTGGTCTGCGTGGGTAGCTGGTTTATAAAGTGGCTCCCCTTGTGGACTGGCAGCAGCGCAGGGTGGCAGGATGCTCCTTGGGAGCATGGCTGGGGCGCACTGGCTGCCGGCCCTGCCCCTGGGGACTATCATATAGTCGTGTAATCGATAAGAATTCATGCAGGTACATGACTATTCAATTACCTGATATCTAATCTTCTTACTTGGCTGGGGTGGTGAGAGCTAGATGCATGGGAGTAGGTGTATAATTTCAGGAATGTGGGTGGCAAACGAGCAGTCACAAAGCATAACATGCTAGGAAGAAACAAAGGGAGTGAGGAGGCTGGCGTTTTTGGCAGAGCAAAGGGAACAGGTCCAGATGTAAGAAGAAAGCAAAATAATATATGCAGTCCAAAGACTTATTTATCAGTAAAACAAGCTGTTAGGGCGGGATAGAGGATGAGTAATGTTTTCAGGCAAAAATTCTGTTTAGAATATGTAACATGTATAGGTCTATATAACTCTAATCACAATGCAGAGCAGAAGTATTCAATCTAACCCAAATCTTTTTACACCTCTGCCCCTTCCTGTGCTTGCTTTTTAGTTAGTTGTTGAGATTTCTTCCATGTCTGCAAATTCTTTGAATTACTGTGCACACAGTGGATTAATATCTGAGCTAATCGGGGAATTGACTGGAGATGATGTGCTGGTCAGGTATGTTGATAGTAAGATTGTTTTCAAAAGCAAATTGCACGTCAGTTATTTTCCTGACACGGTTACATAAAGAAATATTTAAAAAGCTTTAGACTAAAATGGTATTCTAATTTTGGAGGGAGAAAAGGAAATCCTAGATCTGGTCAACCTTATTCATTTTGTTCTGTCTAGTCCAAAATAGCACAAGAGGTTGTACAGGAGACAATAAAACAGTGACAAAGTACAGTGCAGATTAACAACATTTGAAAATGAGGTTGATTCTGATGTGGGATTAGGTTCATACTTTTGTTTTCTTAAAGTTTGATGCATTCAGGTTGCCCCTCACTCCTACAAGGCAGGTCAGTTATTTAAAAAAATGTAATAGGAAGAAGTCTAGCGCACTTAAAAAAAATGTCTTTTTAAACTGTTTGAAATATGGCCATATCTTTGTTTTTGTACTAGGGATGTAAATGACTAGTCGACTTTCTGATGAGCGTATGCATATCTGTTTCTCCCCACTCCCTTGCTGCCTCTAGCAGAGAGAGACAGCAAAGGGGGGGGAGCAGGAGCTGGTGCTGGGCGGGGGAGCCAGTTTAAAAGCTGCTTCCCCCCAGCACCATCTCCATGGGGAGGAGAGATAGGGGAAGTAGAAGCACATTGGGGAAATGGCGCGAGCGGGGATTGAAGCAGTCCCTGTTCGCGCCAGTCCAACTGCTGTACCTCTTGCTTTGAAATGTAGCAAGAGCCCTGCTACATTTGAGCTCCCTTTGAATTGTAGCAAGAGCCCATTCCTTATCGAGTAGCTGATTAATCAAAATTTAGCATCCCTAGTTTGCACTGGACTTAATGTATTAGGACTCTGTTTGGGTATTATTCCAGTATAAATACTTAGAGCATGTTATCTTTAACTGTGGAAAATTTTTTTAAAAAAATCAATCTTTGGAAATTATCTAGATTTTCAGGTGTCCTTTAACAAGGATGTGAAATAGGTCATATGAACATTTATTCTTTCTTTATTATAGAGCTACCTCTATAGAGATGGTGACCTCACTGGCATACACGCAGCATGGACGCCAATATCTTGCCCAACAAGGAATCATTGATAAAATTTCCAATATAATCATTGGTGCGGATTCTGATCCTTTCTCATGCTTCTATTTACCAGGTAATGTTATACATTGATTATTCCTGGTGGTGTGGAATGTCCACCTCGACTGAACTGTTAAACTAAGGTCTTTGAACCTTTTGCCATGAAAAGAAATGTGTATTTTTGATAGCAAGTATGTTATAAATGTGTATGCAACTAAAATGTTTATGAATGGTCTAAAACCCCTTTCAGGAGTCTGATGTCTTGCATACCCCAGGTTTCACCTCACTTAAATTGCTTTGTTACAAAATCAAATCTAAAAGTGCAAGAATTTCAAAGCCCTCTGTTATTGAAAATTTGTTTCCTTTCTAATTTTATCATATAATATCAATTGATTGGAATATAAATATATTCTGCTTACATTTTAGTATATAGGGCAATATAAACAGTTCATACATTTCAAATGTTTTAGTTTGTATTGACTTTTAGTGCTTTTTGTGTAGCTTTGTTGTAAAACTAGGCAAATATCAAAATGAATTGATGTACCACTAGACCTCTACCTCTTGACAAGAGATGCTGATCTAAACCATGAATGCCTTCTTCACGTAAGGACACTGGGAAAAGATATGTTATAAGGATACCGCTAGGTATTGTTAGGCACACAGTGGAAACATTGCTGCTTTGCTAAACAAGGACCCTAATAACTTGAAACCTAGTACTTTAAAAACCTTTCCAGTTTGAGGTACTCTACTGCTTAGAATACCTCTTGGGGGAAAAAAACCACAAAAACTAGCAATTATATTATTCCTACTTTTAAAATGTGTGTTTTCATCTCTGTTGCTGTGGGAAACTCCTTCACAAGCAGGAAAAACTCTGCTTCTTACAAAACTTTGTGTACATAGGGGAAAAAACATAAATTTTCTTTAATATTTCAGTTATAAGAATCTGAGGTGTAACTTGCATAAAAGGTCTTTAATAAAATCTTCAGATAGGAAATGACATTGTTTCTCTTAAAGTTGGGGTATCCCTTTTAATAGAAGTGTTTTCCTGAACTTTAATTGAGAGTGAAACATTGCTTTGGAATTTTTTTTAAAAGAATTAGAATATGAAACAGGTTAGTCTTGTTTTCATTGTCCGAGGTGAGTTAAATGAGAAGTAAATACCATAAATAATTTAAAATTTTAATATAAGATCTTTGTGATTTAAGGAAATTATTTTTTAAATATTTCTTTTATCTCATGATGTCTCTTAAAAGAGGTACCCACAATTTTAAAATGGGGAGTGGTCAGGAAACAAGTGGAGAATATGAATTAACGACATCTTGCTTGAATATTTAGCGACTGTAACTTTGATCAGAAATTCAGGTATCAGCCCCTTTAAGTATGTAAGTTTTTTATGTGGAAATTTTATTAGTAGACAGATGTCTATTTCACATAAACAAGGAACCCATTGCACTGTTACCAGCTTCAGCAGACTGGTGATCGATTAAGTAGAACATGGCAAATGAACTCCTTTTTTACTCTGAGAGCAAAGTCCTAGTATACTCTGAGGGCATGTCTAGGCTGGGATAAGAGGGTTAAAAAACAATACTTAATCTCTTATCCTTAATATTTCTTGAAGTTGGAGTAGCTTGCACTACCTTTGCCTGTGCTATATACATTTGTTTTAAAAATACTGGCTGTATCTAGTGCTGTCCTTTTCCGTCTTCCTCTCTTCTAAAGCTGAACAACTTTATCTCCAACACACATTTTAATTATGCCATTCAGATAAAATACTTTTTGGTATCTTTCCTTAGTTATTCACTTGAAATTATGCCACTGAAGTTATTTTTCCTTTGTCAAATGTTTTTTTGCTTTTGACAGGATTTGTAAAATTTTTTGGAAATCTGGCTATTGTAGACAGCCCACAGCAGATCTGTGAACGATATCCCATCTTTATGGAAAAAGTATTTGGAATGGCTGATAGCCACGACCCGACCATGATTGGAGTGGCTGTGGACACGCTTGGAATCCTGGGATCAAATGTGGAAGGAAAACAGGTTTTACAGAAAACTGGTTTGCATCACAGTTTTTTCCTATACTCTAACAGACAAAGAGAAGCTTACTGAGGGATTTTCACACTCAGGAGAGGGGAAAGAAACCCTAAAATATATTTACTTACCAGATATTTCTTTTGTTTTAGAGCTGCAAAGCACCCAAATAGTAATTTTCTATTCACAATCTCTTTAATTTTGGTAGGCTATGGGAAAATAGGGGAAGAGGAAAGTATTACTGACTCTGGAGAGGAGCTTAATATATATAGCATTACGGGCTGTGATCAAACCATGTTCATGAAACACTTAGCAATGTCGGAGCTGCAATTTGTGCTGTCAGCTAGAATTTCTTGTGTTGCGGTGAACAGCACAATAGCACTGTAATTTTAGGAGATGTTAATCTATCTTCTCTGGTGATATTATAGTCCCTTGAAGAGGACAAAGAAAATATAGACATTTGCCTACAGACATTTATGTATAAACTGTTGACTTTCCTGGGCGCGTCACGCTTTTATTTTTGAACATAATATGACTTCTTTTAGTGCAAGAAGAAATGGCTCACCAAAATGGGTCAGCAAATTCAAAATGAGATATAGAACTTTTTCCACTACTCATTCAAATCTAACCCGGTTTGGTGAAAGTCTGCACTGGCAGGGCTGAGCTGCTGAAACA